AGTATGTGTGGGATGGTCTCCTAAGTGGAATTGTCTGGCACATGTGGGTAGACAGTGAAAAGTGGCTGTTTATTTTGGATTCCAGAGCTCCAAAACACAGACTTGAAGTCATGAGACTTGGTCAGGTGTTGGATAATAGGTCCCAAAAAATGAAGATGAAAAAATAAAAACAAAAAAAATAAAGTTTCAAAATTTTTGAAAAATTATAAAAGCTTTGATATTCATTTTGGGGGAGTGGGAGTGCTGTGAGAAACAAAGAATGGAGCATGGGATTAATGATTGTAAATCAAAAGGTTTGGACCAGAAGGGTGTCTGGATTAAAGTCAAAACAGTAAATTCTAGTGCTTTACTGCAATATTGCAGGCTGCTGAATGCCCCACTCAACAGCTGTTTGAAGCCATCTGGAAACCAAATTTTCCAAACTTTTCATTTATAATCACTCTTCTAATATGCCAATCTTCCTTTCTCTCAGCACTCCCACTCCCCCAAAATGAATATCAAAGCTTTTCAAAAAAAAATCAAATTTGTTTTTTATTTTTCAGTTTTCACCAATTTTGAAAAAGTTAAACTTTTTTTTATTTCATGTTCATTCTTTGGGACATATGATCCACCACCTGACCAAGTCTCATGACTTCCATTCTGTGTTTCGGAGCTCTGGAATCCAAAATAAGCAGCCACTTTTCACTGTACCCCAAAATCATTAAAGTTTTCCCCCTTTTGCTGTGCACTCCGAGTCCAAGAAACTCTGGAGTGCATGCAGGTAGTGCACTCCAAGAATCCTAGGAGTGCACAGGGGAGATCTTTGGTGTGCAAAAAGGCAGACCCCCCCCCCAAAAAAAAAAACATGAGCTAAAAGTCTCAACAAGTCTGGTATTTTTACAAATCCTTGTCAATCCGCTATCCTATAGAGTCATCCACAATCACTCAGTATCATTCACACCAGTTCCCAATCAAGAAGGTAGTGTCTTGAATAATGGGATCTTGTGATCAATGCTAACAACCATGAGAAGTGTACATATAGGGATAAGAACAGCTACATTACATACCATGAGGGGTATCTGTTGTCCAAATCCTCACTTCTTTTCTGCCCAATGAGTAAGTCAAGTGTGGATTGATTTAGTGAAATTGATTAGTACATACAGAGAACAATTCCAATCTCTCTCTCTCTCTCTGTCAGAAAAAAAAAAACACAGATAGATTGCAAGAGGTTTCCGAAGAAAAGAAGGATAGTGATATGGGTACAAGAGAGACTAAATTAAGCAGAGAGGAAGATGAAGAGCAGAGTTTTATTTGTCGAGTAAGACCGCCTTGGACTTGGATTCGATTCCATCGACCAATTTGCCGTAAGTTTTGGAGACATTGTCGAGCGATTTCTGGTTGTCTTTGAAGTCGTCCTTGGTGATCAGATTCGAATCCAGGTCGTTCCTGCTTGCCTTCTGTGCCTGTATATACACACACATAGTACATACATTCCCATCATCATCATCATCAGTAGAAGAATATGGAAAAGCGAGCTCAATCGTCTATTTTGTAGGGGTGATAGGGAGGGGGGATGTAAGGACGACTAACGGCTTGACGGATATTGCGGATCCCCGCCCGGGCCTGTTCGCAGAGCTCGCCGCTCTCCTTAGCCAATACCTTACGGGTATCGATTGTCAATCTATGTACCGAAGCGACATTGCAAGTGTTGATAACCAAAAAAAAAAAAAAAAAAAAAAAAAATCCACACGGTTTGATATCTGAGCACCAAAACCAAACCAAAACAGAGCAGAAAAACGGAAGCGAGATGTGTGCGTTGGGCTGACCTGGGGATGGCGATGGAGAGCGAGCCGTCGGGTTGTAGCTTGGGTGCTAGGTTCAAGGTCGAGCCGTAGAGCGCCTGTTCGATCGACTTGGTATACTATGGTCGACACGAAACAATGCCATCTTGATGAACATTATGAAGACTATGTATAAGAGAGAGAAAGATTGCTGACTGAAGGATCGTAAGGCACGACGGACAAAGTGTTGGAGTCGACGACGATGACTTGGGCGACCGAGTTGATCCCGAGCCGTTGGTGGTCATGGAGCAGCTTGATTCCGTCGAGATAGGCCGGCGTCAGGCGACCAACCCGGTTGACGATCAGGTTCACATTCTGCCGCAATCGAGCCACCGTCATGTCCATCTCCTTCTCCACCTTGTTCCGGTTGAATCGCTCCTCATTCCCGTCCTGATTCAGATTCGTCGACGGGATCTTGGCGAGGCCTTCGGGGCTCGGCTTGGCTGGATATTGTATAGAGCAGATCATTTTGGGTTGGAGGATATCGAGCAGTGTTTTTTGTTTTTTTCAGTGCCCCATCTGTACACAACTGATGGCTTGAAGAAAACGGCCGATCTCTCAGAAGTCTGGAGATCGGAGGATCAAACGAGTCATGGTATCTCGCGACTGACCGGTGCTATTCCCGCCGGCTTTCTTCTTGGCCCACGAGGCCGAGCTGGACGATATCGAGCGGCCGGCAAAGGAGATCAGTGACGACGAGCGGACACAGCCGATCCGAGGGCCGGCCCAGGGAGGAAGGTCCAGGCGAACAGGCCGGACTAGCCTACTGATCGATCGAGATAACATCGCGAATGGAGAGGTCGATTGTCGAGTGGTGGCCGTGTGTGTGTGTTTTTTTTCTTCCCGCAAATCGAGTCGGAGGCCGGGTATTTTCCGAAGAACCAAAGTGGGTTTGCCCGCTGTCTCAACTGCTTTCAGTGGACAAGAAAAACTGCCGATAACCAACTAAAAATACTCAACTTCCACCTCAGCCGCAACTCAACATCACCTCACTCTCCAACACAACCACAGCAAGCTCTGGTTGAAGTTCATACTCAGGTGGCCACGTTATACACACCCGCTTCGAAATGTCGTTCGGTCGTCCCGGAAATCTTCGGTAAGTGAGTTCCACCCTCGAGCATTGCAACAAATGATGATGGAGGCACAAAACTGAGGGGGAGATGAAGTACAGAGACACATTCACGGTGAGTCCGCCGGACCGAGGCTCGTTCCCGTTGGACCACTTCCACGACTGCTCGTCGTTCATGAAGACTTATCTCGGATGTCTCCAGGCCAACCAACGAGACCAGTCCAAGTGTCGGGTCGAGTCGAAGAACTACCTGGGCTGTAGGATGGAGAAGGGCTTGATGGCCAGGGTCGGCTGGGACGAGCTCGGACTGGCCGACGTGCCCGGAAACGGCGGGATGAAAGACGACCCTGCTCTTTGATCTTTCCCTTGCCTCCTCCATATCCCTCTCCGAAATTCTTGTGGCCCTTCTTTCCGAGTTCTAGTTCCTCCTTGTTTTGAAAATCGCACACCCACCCTACTCATTTTCATTCATACCAAATATTGCTAATCACACAGAATCA